ATTGTTTCTGGGAAAAATACAGCATTTATTGACCTTCCTTTGGGGGTTAAAATTATCCAGTAAGGAGCAGTGTGTTTGGTGTTGGTAAAGGATCTTTTTCCCTTCTATGTTCTCTCTGGACACATATTGGACTCATGCTGTTTCCTTAACACTGGACTTTCTATATTCTATATATTGAATTTCTTGTGTCATGCTATTTTAGATATATACTTAGCACTGCATTTTACAATTTTTATAGTTCATGTATTGTAACCGGTAATACTGTGCTAGCTGCTAGTGTGGATTCTAACTGTAGACTTTATAATTGATCTCAAGCGCGATTTTCTGTTTTTATTTTTATATTTATAAAGCAGTTAACCTGACATTTACCAAACATTTACTGCAGGCAAACCTTTCTGGTACATGTGCTTTATATGACAATTATTTATTCACTTCCATTGGATAATTGTTAAAATTCACCTTCACTGCTTTATAAATAAATACTTAAAACATTGTAATATGGCTTTCACATTATAAACCCTTGCTCTTTCATATAATAAACACTGGGGAGTCTTCACTGGGATGGTGGGTGTCAGAGCAGGGATTTCATTTGCAAGAAGCATCAGTGCTTGCCATTTCATTACCTAAGTTAGGACAGAAGGCACAAACATGACAAACTAGGCATGCACTGCACACATTAAATATCAGTGTATGATAAGTCAGATGTAGCATTCCTCCTCTCAGGGTGGTGTGGAATGACCAGGACCAGGACAAGGGGTGGGGTGGGGGGGTGGCTGCCCTTGTATCATGTGAGGTGTGGGGGGGGGGGGGGGCACCTTATGGAGAGTTTCTACCTACAAGTTGACAGGAGTAGTGACAGCAGCTTCACTACTCCAGTCAGCTTAGTGCTGGAGGAGACAAACCAGATCTGGAGAGGAGGAGAGAGCCAGGATGAGGGGCAGGTTGTGCTCTCTCTCCCCTCAGCTCCTCCTCTAGCCACTGCAGCTCTTCTGGATCAGGACTGAATGATTACCATTGTGCAGTGTTTGTTTTCTTTATCTACCCCCATCTCCTTCCAGCAAAGGACATGGGTAGGGGGTGGGTAAGCAAACACTGCACAGTGGCAATCTGACGGTCAGTTGCACCCTTAGTGCAGGGCCCTGACGCTGCGATCCTATAACACTCTATAGCCCCCTATGCTGCTTGAATTTTTTTTGGGGGGGGGGATTTTTGCTGACACATAATGCGCATACATTTTGGGGGGGGTCACCATTTGGCATCTTTGCCCTGGGAATTACCCCTACATAGTGTAGCAGGGTCTGCTCCTTGTAATATAGTGGGTTGAAAAATATGTTGGGTGCCAGTCATGTTAGTCTTTTTTACCTTTTATAGCCTAACTCCGTTTTTGGGCTCAGGATACCCCAAAAAAAGCACAAAAAGGATAGGTATTCTAAAAGTAGTAGTAGGAGCTGCCCTTTTACAGCGGCCTGTTGGTAATTGCTGGCCCTATGAGAGCAGCCAGACAGATCTATAACCCTATAAGAGCAGTCATAGTCCTTAAGTAGCAGCTTTTCTCCCCCAAATTAATCTAGCTCTTGACCCTTGTATAGAGCTAGAATACCTCCAGATATACGCTTGAGCAGACAACTAAAGTCTTTGGGCCTATAGCACATGTCCTGGGCTGACACAAGGCCCATGTAGAGGTCCCTCTAGACCAGGGGTGGGCAAACTTTTTGACTTGAGGGCCGCAATGGGTTCATATATTGGACCCGGGGGCCGGACCAAGAGTAGATGAATGATGTGTATGTGTCATCCATAGTAAGTATAGTAATATTCCCCCATAGTAAGCATAGTAATTAATCCCCCATATAGTAATTCATCCCCCATAGTAATTCATCCCCCATATAGTAATTCATCCCCCCATAGTAATTCATCCCCCATAGTAATTCATCCCCCATAGTAATTCATCCCCCATATAGTAATTCATCCCCTATAGTAATTCATCCCCCATAGTAATTCATCCCCCCTGTAGTAATTAATCCCCCATAGTAATTCATCCCCCATATAGTAATTCATTCCCCATAGTAATTCATCCCCCCTATAGTAATTCATCCCCCATAGTAATTCATCCCCCCTATAGTAATTCATCCCCCATAGTAATTCATTCCCCATAGTAATTCATCCCCCATAGTAATTCATCCCCCATATAGTAATTCATCCCCCATAGTAATTCATCCCCCCTATAGTAATTAATCCCCCATAGTAATTCATCCCCCATATAGTAATTCATTCCCCCATAGTAATTCATCCCCCCTATAGTAATTCATCCCCCATAGTAATTCATCCCCCATAGTAATTCATCCCCCCTATAGTAATTCATCCCCCATAGTAATTCATTCCCCATAGTAATTCATCCCCCATAGTAATTCATCCCCCATATAGTAATTCATCCCCCATAGTAATTCATCCCCCCTATAGTAATTAATCCCCCATAGTAATTCATCCCCCATATAGTAATTCATTCCCCATAGTAATTCATCCCCCCTATAGTAATTCATCCCCCATAGTAATTCATCCCCCCTATAGTAATTCATCCCCATAGTAATTCATTCCCCCATAGTAATTCATCCCCCATAGTAATTCATCCCCCATATAGTAATTCATCCCCCATAGTAATTCATCCCCCATATAGTAATTCATCCCCCATATATAGTAATTCATCCCCCATAGTAATTCATCCCCCATAGTAATTCATCCCCCATATAGTAATTCATCCCCCATAGTAATTCATCCCCCATAGTAATTCATCCCCCATATAGTAATTCATCCCCCATAGTAATTCATCCCCCATAGTAATTCATCCCCCATATAGTAATTCATCCCCCATAGTAATTCATCCCCCATAGTAATTCATCCCCCATATAGTAATTCATCCCCCCTATAGTAATTCATTCCCCAAATTAATTCATCACCCATATTAAGTCCCCAAGCCCCCCCTGTGTCAATTCACTTACCTTTGCTCCGCGCATTCCTCTCGCCGTGTCCCAGTGTAGCATGAAAATCTGTCTCCTATGAGGATCCGTCCCCCTCGACGTATCTGCGCATGTGCCAGTTTCAGGCATTAGCAGCTGATCGGTGATCTCCGGCACATGCGCAGATACGTCGAGGGGGACAGATCCTCATAGGAGACAGATTTTCACGCTACACCGGTCTTCAGGGCGGACTGTGAGAGGAGCCTAGCTCCGCGGGCCGGATTAAAAGGTCCGCCGGGCCATATACGGCCGCGGGCCGTAGTTTGCCCATTGCTGCTCTAGACACACGTACTTTCCATGCAGAAGCTCAGGAGGTCAAGAATAGTTTGGAAAGGTGACCAAAATATGTATCATCTTCCAAAACGATACCGTTGAACAAAAGCCTAAGGGATTGGTTGGGTTTGACACATAATTATAACTCAGTGATCACCCCTCCTACACTGATTTCTGTAGCCTCCTTCTTAGTAGCAGGCAGAAGCAATCAAACCCCTGAGCTTATGGAAGACCTGCATTGCCTAGAAAAAATAGATTGATGCTCAGGCAGGACACAGCCTGGCAGGGCCATTAAAAGGCGGAAGAGTGCAGATGCCCTGGATGCAGTATTTTTATGACTGAAACTTGCCAGTGCTCCGTTTTCCAGCTTCTTGATTGACAGGAGTGAAAGCAAAGTCACCCGCATAAAACAGGGACTATGTTAGCTGCTGAAGGAAGAATTCTGCTTTCTCCTCCCTCCAATGGCAACCTACTGTGGGTGGAGGAAAGCAGGGAGAGGGGGTGCCCCATGAGAAAAGGACTCCTTCTCAGTACAGGCACTTGCTGGGCAGTAGGGCAAACTACCCTTCTTCCTATCGCCCCTTGTCATGTGACAAAGCAAATGACCAGAGATAGGGAGAAGAAGAAGTTGACTTCACAGGTGGGTGACAGAATGAAATGGAGATCTGAACTGTCAGTGCACAGGGGGTGACAGTAGCAACTCAGCCCCAGAGCTCCACTTTTTAACTCAAAAACCCAAGCAGACTCATATCCAATCTACTTCCTTTGGAGCCCTTTAGCTCTCCTAGAGCCACACAGGGTCCCCTAGATAAATGCACCCCACAGAGCTCCACTTCTCCAGCTCCTCTACCTTCCTTCATCCCACTGAAAGATGCCAAATCACTTCTCCTCAGACTGACACCACCCACGCAGTGGTATTTCTTCTTTCCACTGACAGTGGCATTTTTTTCCCTACTGAAACTAATGCAGCAGCATTTTTTCTATTTAGTGATACCACCTATGCAGGGGCATTTTTTCTTCCAGTGAGATCACCGAAGCAGTGGCATTTTTTCTTCCAGTGACATCACTGAAGCAGTGGCATTTTTTTCTTCTAGTGACACCACCAGGGGTGGAATGACAACTCATGGGGCCCCTGGGAAATAGGGGATCATGGGGCCCCTGTGTCCTTGCCCAAACTCAAAAAAGCCTATGAAAAAGGTACCAGGGGCATCTCATGGGGCCCCCCACTGGCCCCGGGCCCTCGGGCAGTGCTTGAGTTTCCAAATGGTCAGTCCACCCCTGGACACCACCAGTGCAGTGGCATTTTTGTCTTACAGTGATGCAGGGGTATATTTTTTCTTCCAATGATACTACAGATGCAGGGGCATTTTTTTTCTTCCAGTTAAACTACAGATGCATGGGTATTTTTTTATTTCTAGTAATACTACCAAGTACATTTTTTCTTTGCCATTGTTGGTCTCATATTCAACTGTGGGACAGAATGTGAACTACTAATAAACTTTTCCATTTGATGTGGTGTGCCCAGGAGCGGACTGACCATTTGGAAACTCAGACACTGCCCGAGGGCCCGGGGTCAGTAGGGGGCCCCATGAGATGCCCCTGGTACCTTTTTCATAGACTTTTTGAGTTTGGGCAAGGACACAGGGGCCCCAAAATCCCCTATTGAAGGCCCAGGGTCAATAGGGGGCCCCATGAGATGCCCCTGGTGCCTTTTTCATAGGTTTTTTGAGTTTGGGCAAGGACACAGGGGCCCCATGATCCCCTATTGCCCGGGGGCCCCATGAGTTGTCAGTCCTCCCCTAGGTGTGCCGCAACCATTGGCACAATTTCAGTTCATCCCACAAACATGACATATATATCTCAGCACTATTAGTCCCACCCCCCGCTCCACTTGGGAAGGGGGGGCAGTTTGGCATCTTTGCCCTATGTACTAGTTGATCTTGTGCCAGCACTGCAGCCTAGCAACAAATTATACTAAATATAACTAAAAAGAGGTAAATTCTGGGATCTCAGTTGAAGAGATGTGTATGAACATCTGAGCTTGCAATCCAGAATACCGTAACCATTTATCCCTGCTTTTGTTCATTTGCTTTAGTAAATCAGGCCCAGAATCTAAAGGGAACTAAGAGTAATGAATCCAGGCAAGTGTGAAAATGAAAAATGTTTGTGTTCTCCTTCTTTATTAATGGGATACTGACAGCATTGCTTCATTATTGTACAAAGATGTGTGAAGATGAAAAGCCAGGATAAGCACAGATCCCTTGAGTGGCGTTTTTAGTTTGGCTCTTGATTACAGATAACAGTGTTGTGTATTCCTCTTTGAAAATGCACTGGCTCTAACAGGCCCTAATTACATCCTTTCCAATTTTAGCAATTAAAGCTTGCATTTGAAGTAGTTGAGAACCAATGAGAAATTAAAGGTTAGCACGTAAACATAGATCTAAATGCACTTCTTTCAAGGTTGCTCACCTCTATTAGAAAAACCTGTTATTGATGCAGCAAGATAATGGCAGATGCTAATAAAGTAGGCTTTGTATATTTTTAAACGTGGAAGAAGCCAATTATGTGAAACACTGCTTGAAAAGCATCAGTGGATACTTTTAGTAGGATATGATCATTTTAAGATCTCTCTAATATGCTGTAAGAAATGTAAATATTCAACATGATTTAAATTATTCTTCATGTACCATTTTATTTGACAACTCAGAGATAAAGTGTAATGTATTATATGCATTGAACCCAGGGGCGGATTGACCATTTGGAAACTCGGGCACTGCCCGAGGGCCCGGGTCAGTAGGGGGCACCATGAGATGCCCCTGGTACCTTTTTCATAGGCTTTTTGGAGTTTGGGCAAGGACACAGGGGCCCCATGATCCCCTATTTCCCGGGGGCCCCATGAGTTGTCAGTCCGCCCCTTATTGAACCTGACTTCATAAAATCATGTGACCGCTTTACTGCAGCATGACCATATTTGTCAACACCCATATATTTAATTAAAAGACTTGCTTAATATTTATTTTGTTTCCTTGTAAATGTTTTCAAATATTCAAAGGTTTTTGTGATGACACTTTTATAGTATGCCATTGTAGTATCAAAGCATGTAAAAACACTGGCAGTTAGACTGGCAGAGGGCTCATCCAGTCATAATGGTGGTAGACCACCTGGCACATGTTTGGGAATTAATCAGAGGTCCCTTTGTACATGCTGCTGCTTGGCCTTCTGTTGCCTTCCATCCATTTGTTGGTGCTGATTGTGCTGTACTAACTGTGGCAAATTTTCCTGCTTTCTCTGGGTTCTCCTGCACTCCAAATTCCTTTCCTGCATGCTAGTGTGTGCACCAGTACTCTTTTCATGCATTTAAGTGTGCCGCATGCTATAAGGGGCATAGGCAAGTATGCCCTTAGTACATGATGTAGTTGCCTATTGTGGAATTTAGAAGCTTGTAGGCACAACTCTTTTTTCTTTGTACTCTGATTGACCTAGCCTGTACTCATCTTGCTTAAAGTGTGTGTAAAAGCAAATATTTTTTTTCCTTGTGTTGGATAGATTAAGGAAGGGATAGACCCTTGTTTTGGCTTTAAGTATTTCCTGTAACTGTCTGTCTAATCAGTTGACAGTATTTATGCCCAGTTGACTCCGATCCCTGCCTAGTATACAATTACTATACTCATACTCTGTGTGTTAGCACTGCCTCTATAACCCAATGCATAATCTACTGGGGACACCTAGGTGTCAAACCACACCTGCAAGGCATGCTTAGATGTTGGCTAATAAAGGTGACACATGGTGCATGCAGAGTTATAAAAGCCTCAGCTAAGACCTTTCATGACAATGGCCTCCATACTGCCCTTCTGCAAAGTTCCAGGACTTCAACATTTCAGTGGGTGAGTTGGTCACCTATGTTAGCCACTCAAGAGGTTACCCACTGAAAATCTACCTACGAAACTCAAGATCCTCTTTCCCATTACGTTTTTTTTAGGGACCCTACTATTATTTTGTCTGCAAATTCTAATTTTCTCTCAGGCCTCACATGTGTGCAACAAAAATAGCACAAGGAGTCTACTAGTGCTGCAGTTTTTAATTTATGATCGGCCAGACAAAGTGCTGCAAAACCCAGAGGAACCCAGCATTGCATTCTCCACTTGGTAGTTGACAGTTTAAAGAATGATCGTGTGTTACAGAGTCAATATGCCCTGGGTCTATGTAATAATAATAAATGTGATGTGTAATAAAATACACGATCAGTCACCCAGTTTTTGATTTTCTAGATTTTCTCATTTATCTGACCATCGGGACTAATCATCACCAACTGGAGTGTAGGCAATTGCTATTATCATCTAACAATTACTACCCCATACCCAGTATTGCCATTAGCCTGTTTGCCTTTTCTCTGTGCTGAGAAAAAAAAATAATGCAAAATGAAAATCCACAAGATTTAAGAAAATGAGAGATGAAGGTGCAGATCTAAAGACCTCTGTCTGTAGCTGAAGAAAAAAAAAGTGTCTCTACACAAGTATAGGCAAAAATCATCACCACTGTTGATGAGTTCTTTAATTAGGAAGTCAGAACTAAAGTACTGTATTTCCTAAGCATGATACACAGGGGGCCTACACCATCATTTGCAATCAGGAGGATAACAAATCGCAAGTCACCTTTAATACCAAGGATGACCATTACAAGTGATCTGTGTAAAGCACCCATGTGCTTCATGTTGATGGTCATGGATCCTCAGTACCATCTCTACCGGTTTATTCTCTGAGCTAACGTAGGTCTAATTTGATGCTTCATTCTAACATCTAGCATCTATTTTTAAGATCAGTACATAGATATGCTCATTTTTAAATATATATATATATATATATATATATACATTCAGGAGATATTTCTAGCCACAATAGCTTGATAGCAATATGACTGGTTTTATCACTAAGAACGTTTGCTGTGAACGTCTGCTGCAGTCTAAAAGAGCAGTTTGACTTGTCTGTTACAATACAATTAAAGTCCTGTTGTCCAAACACAAATTAAAATGATCTTTTTCTGGTACATAGAAAGATGATAAGTAAATGTTATATAAAATGCAAAAGCTAATTTACCTGAATGAAGAGCAATCATATATCCAATTAGTCGATGAAATGTAATGTTTTTGTCAAGCAGTCTTCTCATATTTCCACTGCAGCACTGAAAAAAAAACAAACTCAAGCAATACAGACACCAAATCATAGCAAATGTCTGCCATAGTGGAGCATAAAATAGAAACTTGCAAAACAAACTGTATGTTGTTAAAGTGTTACTAACCCCACAACATTACAATCAGTCTGCATACTGTATGCAGTAAAGCATGCTTGTTATACTAACTGTGGAACCTAAGGGGTTAATCCTCTGCATTGTGTAAAAAGGCTGATTAATCCTGTATTCTCTGATCCTCCCCTTCTTCCAGTGTCCCCCTCTTATCTCCTGATAAAATATATTATGTGGACACACTCTGCACATGTTCAGTTTGGTGTGTATTGCTAGACAGTTTGTTTGTTTTTTCTCTTGGGAGAGTGCAAGTGATCAGCACAGGGCCAATCAGCACTGTCCAGACATAGGTCAAGGGTTCTGCATCCTCCTGGAGCAGAAAGAAAACTCCTACAAGCTTTAACCAGTGCTCTGCTGGACACGCATAGGAGTCACAAGACTGCTGATGAGAGAAAATGTATTAAACAGTTTATACTACTACTAAAATAATTGCATTTCCATGTACTGTGTACTGTGGGAGACCAGACATAGTGAATGCAGGGTCCTGGGTTTAATAAAAATTTAACAGACAGCAAACCTTTAAATACATTAATAGCTGTTTAACTCACCACACTTCCTCTCAGTAAGGAAACAAAATTTCGACTAACTGGAATCAAAATCAGCAAGCAGTTAAAGTTCAGACACATTGCAGAGGCTCTAGCCCAAGCCAAAGAAGACTGTGAAGAAATATTAAAGATCATGAGAATATGGAGCATTTCATCACGTATTTTATATTTGCCCTTGTTTATGCACATTAATCTTCAAATAAGTTCACATTTACACCTAATTTATTTAATACTGTGAACATGTGAAGAATGGCTATTTATTATTTATACATTTTTAAAAAAAAGAAATTGGCTTTTCCATCAAAACGCCCTACCCTGATACAGAATACAGTGCTGTAAAGATAGAATCTTGTTAAAAGTGTGGCGTAGGTTTTTTTCTTTTATTTCTTCCCCACTTAGCAGAGCTTATTTGAACTTTGAAGGGTTTAATTCTTTTCATACACGTCAAGAACATAAGGAACCGGCACATTCCTTTCACCTCTCAGTAACAATCTTCTGTACTTCCTTCCATCAGTTCAATTGCAGGTTTCTCTGTGCTCTGACTGGGTGCACTGTTCTTAGATGTGCCCACTTGACCTGATCCTGTAAGTCTTCTGCAGAGGAATTCATTTTTTTAATGTACAATTTATGCCTTTATTGTAAGAAGGAACATTTGTCAATGACTTTGCAGAAGCAGGTAAATTTCATGGACTAGAGCAGTGGTCGGGCAAGCGCGGGTCGTGATCGCGGAGCCACATGCGGCTCTTTACCCAGGTCTAATGCGGCTCTTCTGTGTGCCGGGCCGCCTGCTCCCCTCCCTCCTCTCGGTCGGAACCGATAGGCTCCTGCCTCCTACTCGGTTTGGCAGCCCCAAAAGTCCGCGCGGACCTTTTAATTGCCGGCGCTTGCGGATGTGGCTGTCAGGATGTGTTTAGGCGGTCGCACGCTTGCCGAACGTAGGGGATGGGAGCTAGGCTTCCTCTCACAGGTTTTCATAAAAGACCACTAACTGGCGCGGAATACAGCGAATAGAACGATAGCAATTAAGGTAAGTGAATTGACTACGGGGGATGTGTTACTAAAGGAGGGGGTAAATAGTGTGGGGGATAAATACTATAAGGGGACTGATTACTTCATGAGGGATGAAAAACTATAAATGGGGATAGAAATACTATATGGGGGGATGAAATTACTATATAGGGATGAATTACTATATGAGGGATGACATACTATATGGGGGGATGTGAATACTATTATGAGGGGATGAAAATACTATATGGGGGGAAGATGAAAAAAGACTATATGAGTGGAATTGGCTTCACTATAAGGGGGGATTAAATTGACTAATAAGGAGGGAATAAAAATAGTACATATGATGGGGGATGAATTACTATATGAGGGATGAATTACTGTTCTATGAGGAGGATGAAATATAATATGGGTGGGATGAAATAGTATGATGAGGGATGAAATTACTAAATATATGAGGGATGAAATACTATATGGGTGGATGAAATACTATTATGGGCGTGATTTAAATACTATATGAGGGATTGAAATACTATATGAGGGTGATGAAATACTATATGAGGGATGAATTACTATATGAGGGATGAAATACTATATGGGGGATGAAATACTATATGGGGGGATGAAATACTATATGGGGGGATGAATACTATTATGAGGGGGATGAAATACTAATATGGGGATGTAAATACTATATGGGGGGAATAAATACTATATGGGGGGGATGAAATACTATATGGAGGGTGAATTACATTATGGGGGGATGGAAATACTATATGAGGGATGAATTACTATATGAGGGATGAAATACTATATGAGGGATGAAATAACTATATGGGGGATGAAATACATATGAGGGATGAAATACTATATGGGGGTATGAAATACTATATGAGGGGGATAAGATATGAGGGATGAATTACTATATGGGGGATGAAATACTATATGAGGGGATGAAATACTATAACGGGGGATGAAATACTATATGGGGATGAAATACTATACGGGGATGAAATACTATAAAGGGGGATGAAAAATACTATACCTGAGGGATGAAATACTATATGGGGATGAATTGCTTATGGGGGAAGAACTTACTATAATGGGGGATGAATTACTAATGTGGGATGAGAATTTACTAATATGGAGGATGAAATACAATATGGGGGATGAAAATTACAATAATGGGGGGGTATGAATTACTAAGTGGGGATGAATTACCTAATGTGGGGATGGAATAACACTGATGGGAGGATGAATTTACACTATGGTGGGATATGAATTACTATATTGGGGGATGAGATTCACCTATGGGGGTATGGAATTACTATATGGGAGTCATGTTAATTTTCAGTTTATAAAAAATGGTGGGGCTCTCAAAATAAATTTCAATCATAGGTTTTTGGCGAGATTTTTGGCTAAGTTGAAAAAAAAGGTTGCCCCACCCAACTGGACTAGAGCAATAGGTAGGGGATCTCCTTAAGCACACTTGCTAACTTCCTTTCTACCCTATTAATTAATTTAGTAATGGGACGACTTTGAAGTCTTCATTGTTTCTCGTACAGTGAAATTAATAGAAGAATTCCCTTCAACTTCATCAGCACCCTCTTAACATATTTATCTAATCAGTCTTATTGCTCACTAAATTAAAACCAATTTCCAAATATATATTTGTGGTTGTTTTTTATTAAATTTTTCTTTATCTTTACCATGCTAAAAAAAACCTTTGTGTAGAATTAAGGACTGTTTACCAAAGCAGTTTTTTTTCACAATTTAGGGGGGACTGCCATTTGGAAACTTCGGCACTTTCCCGAGGGCCCGGGTTTGTTGGGGGCCCCATGAGAGCCCTGGTACCTTTTTTTAAAAAGGCTTTTTGATTTGGGGAAGGACACAGGGGGGCCCCCTGATCCCCAATTGCCCAGGGGCCCCTGATTGTCGTCCGCCCCTGTTCAAATTTACCCTTTTTTTTTTCATTTTATTTATTACAGGTACTTATTAGTGCTGTCAATTTACGCAGCATTTCAATATATTGGCTTCACAGCGTCCCTAACCCCGAGGCAACCCAAAATAAGGTCCCCAACTTACTAACATACTAGGGGCAATTTGGGATCCAAATAACCCACCCAAAGTTTTGGTGTGTGGGGGTAACCCAGGTACCCACGCAGGCACAGGGAAACTTTCTAAACCCCCGGCAGGTGGGGCTGTGGTTGGGATTTGAACCCAAAAGCCCTTTCGGTGGAAGTGAACCGTTTAGCCACTGTGCTGCCCCTTGCTCTCTTTATAAAACAAGTCGTTGTTAACAGGGGGGGGACTGAAACTCATGGGGCCCCCGGGAAAAGGGGATCATGGGGGCCC